GGCTTTGGCCCAAGCATCTCTGGGATGAGGAGCACTGAAGCATCCAACCAGGGCTACGTTACTGTCTTGAGCTTGGATCTTAACATTTTGACTCCAAAGAGCAGTGGTTAGTTCTTGACGAGGGTGTGTCCACGTGTCTTTTTCACAGACACGAGTGGCTTCTCCTGCAACATCCCCTGCCTGTGACAGACATCACTAATCGATCAAGGCTTTCCTCCGCCACCCTCCTTACTCATTCTAGCTGCAGCCTCTAACTCTTCTCGAGACAGCGCTCCAGGCAGCCACTACCACTCCATGGCCATTGGCAGGTGGGATGAAAATTACTTGCCATGCCTGCTCAGGCGTCTCGACACCGGCGTCACCTGTTCTTCCTGAAGCTAAGGTATGTCGTGTAAGACATGGGGGATGGGAACCAATCCATGGCCACGGATTTCATTCTCCTGGGCCTGTTCGCTCGTTCGGGGTCCCATCAGCTTCTCTTCTCCCTGGTGGCTGCCGTGTTTGCCATGGGCGTCCTGGGCAACGCTGTTCTGCTCTTGTTGATCCGCGTGGACTCCCGGCTCCACACTCCCATGTACTTCCTGCTCAGCCAGCTCTCTGTGTTTGACATTGGCTTCCCCCTGGTCACCATCCCCAAGATGGCGTCGGACTTTCTCCAGGGAGAAGGTTCCATCTCTTTTGGGGGTTGTGCAGCTCAAATATTCTTCTTGACACTTATTGGGGTAGCTGAGGGCGTCCTCCTGGCCCTCATGTCGTACGACCGTTATGTGGCTGTGTGCCACCCCCTGCAGTATCCTGTGCTCATGAGACCCCAGGTGTGTCAGCTCATGGCGGGCTCCTCCTGGCTGGCAGGTGTGCTCAACGCCTCCATCCAGACACCCATCACCCTGCACTTTCCCTACTGCGCCTCCCGCACGGTGGACCACTTCTTCTGCGAGGTGCCAGCCCTGCTGAAGCTCGCCTGTGCCGATACCTCTGCCTACGAGCTGGTGCTGTCCACCTCGGGGGTGCTGATTCTCCTGTTCCCGCTCGGCCTCATCGCCACGTCCTATGGCCACGTGTTGGGGGCCGTTCTACGCATGCACTCAGAGGAGGCCCGAAACAAGGCCTTGGCCACCTGCTCCTCGCACATCACCGTAGTGGGACTCTTCTATGGTGCAGCTGTGTTCATGTACATGGTTCCTGGTGCCTACCACAGCCCCCAGCAGGACAACGTGATCTCCCTCTTCTACAGCCTGGTCACTCCATCCCTCAACCCCCTTATCTACAGCCTGAGGAACCGGGAGGTGCGGATGGCTTTGATCAAAGCGCTCAGCAGAGCTGGGCTCAGGAGAAAGTGATGACCACACAGGAAACTGTGGGTCTGATCCCAGTGGTCCTCCACACCCCCATCTTCCCAAAGCTGAGCTTCTGGTGCAGAGACTAAGGCCTTGAGTCCTAGGGTAATTGTCTGTCCAGCTTTCCCACACCCCCACCCACCCTGCCCCCAGCCTATTTATGTTCAAATTCTTTCCCATGATTTGTGAAAAGCAATGATAGATAATATTCCCAATCACGTTTAGTATATTGTATCCCTAACAATGTCCTCCTTGCATGATTGGATGTCCTCGTTTGTAATGTTGGAATATTCATGTTAGCCAGTTAACAATGACGGCGGTAGAAACTAACGTTTGTTGACCGTTTAACACATTAACTGTCATGTGAGTTGTATTTAACTCAGGCTAGTTTTGAGTCCGGGGCTTCGTGAAGCAAAACCCTGCAGTTGGTTCATGAAAATATTACTGGTTGATGTCCTTATTGATACAATTAATATTGAAAATTTAATTCTAAACACGTGGATTGCCGTGCATATAACTCACAGCCAGGAAACAGTAAAAAACAACAAATTAGAAAGGATCAGTTTGTTTGAATAAAACTCTTGGCCCCAAGAATGACTTTTTCTCTAGTGTGGCAGTCAGTGTGTTAATCTAGTTTGGACGCGTCCTAGTGGGTCAGGGTAGCCCTGCCTCCCTATCTGTTATATATGACTTTATAGTGCTACTCACTTTCTGCTACACCCTGTTTATCCACTCACTGAAATCATTATTTTTATATGTGTCTTATAAATGTTTACTTAGTAAAAAATGAATTGATTTTATAATGAATCTTGTGGGGATTGTTATCCATAATTTGTTTAAATGAAGGAAAGTGAACTAAAGGGAGTACAAGATACTGTGATGGAGATTCTCA